CATTCCTGTTGTACCCAACAACAGCATGGGCCGCCTTCCGAAATTATCCAAGAAAAGTGCTGAAACAATACAAAATGATGTCTTGGCTATCCCCATGACAATAGTCACACCTACTAGTCCTTTTCGATTGTGAATTCCAGCAGCATTAAACACGGATGGCGTGTAGTAAACCACCGCATCATTTCCGGAAGCTTGCATGAAGAAGTTTATACCGACGGCAGCGACAAGAATCCGGCGAAGCGGCCGGCTTGGCATTAGGAGTTCTTTCCAAACCCCTTGGCCTTTCCATTTACTTGGAATTGATCCTGTGCTATCACTTGGACTTTGGCCTACAAGAGAAGCAGCTTTTATTATTTCTTCTAGTCTCAAATTGGCCTCATCATCGTTCTCTGAGGTTTTACGAAGCACTCTTTTCGCTTCTTCTATACGGCCTTTCATAACAAGCCACCGTGGGGATTCTGGCATTTGCAATACACCAATGCCAATGCCAATAGCTGGAACGGCAGCAATTCCAAGCATTAGCCTCCAGTTGATGTGGTCTGGTAAACCAGCTAGTGCATAGTTGAAAATATAGCCTAGTAAGATACCAACATTGATGAACACTTCAGGGAGCGATGTGAGCAAACCACGTGTCATGGCCGGCGATACTTCGGCAGTATAGACCGGAGCAATCATCAGTGAATAACCAACGCCGATTCCGGCGACGACCCTTCCTGCCATAAGGAATGGGTAAGAAGGAGCCAGTCCCATCAGGAGTGCACCGACCAAGAAAGTAGCTGCTGCCAAGATAATTGTGTATCTTCTACCAATCATATCTGAAGTCTTGCCAGATGCAAATGATCCAATTAGAGAACAAACATTCAATGACCCCACCAAGATTTCTACCTGAGAAGATGAAATCTTGAGATTATCCTTTATGAAAAGCACAGCTCCACTCATCACTCCAATATCTGCAACATTAAATTGCCAGGAGTCACTGATTTTTCAAATTAAACTGGTCAATAATTCATCTATTAGACATATATAGTTTCATTCCACAGCCCCATGAGAAAACTGGTCAACATTTATTTTCAATATTTTGAGATCAAAGATCTCGTTATGATCTCATACTATAGTGTAGTACAAATATTAAATCAAATGATTGTACAACCACATGAGAAAAGTAAGGATACTGGATATAGAATAAAGAAGACTCACCATATCCCAAGAGGATGGAATTGGTAGAGGCCAAAAGGGCGCAAGCGAGAGCATACTTGTTCAGAGGAGCCTTTTTCTTAGAAGATTGAGATTCAACTTGAGTAGTGTTTTCTGTTCCGACCTTATACTCATCCATATGTGGATTGATAAAGCATGAGTACCCTGCTTTAGCTCTGTTTTAGTGTGTAACAGAAATGAGAGATTAATATTATTCCTTTGAGTATATATGAGACTGAAAACTCAAATGGATAATAAAGAGCTGATTTGCATGAATGGCTAACTTGTAGGATGGCATGACACGTTTGTTTAGGATTTCAACGCAAGCTGCGTTTTCGCCTTCGTAATATGTCTTTATCCAAACTAACTTTTATGTGAGTCACTTTTTCCTTTAAAGACACCACGTCATTAACTCGCCAAATTCATAAGTATACTTGCTTGAACACTAACCGCGTGTTAGTTACACTGCATTTAGTTTGGATTTTTTCATTGTTCAAACTTCACAGAGATCTGGTGTCGTAATTTGTCATTGTCAATATTTTCTTTGTTATTTGGAATTTTCTTTTTCCTGTAATTAACCTTTAATACGTACTAGTACTATTTTTCATGTTTGATAATTTCCCAAAATCTACTAGAAAGAAACACAAGCACCTTAGGAGTCATTCACCACCTAATAGTCCTGCGTAAAAAGGTTTTATAAATTAGGGGTGTCTATGCGCATGTGTACAAGTTAGTGATACTGAGAGTAAAAACCGTTGGTCCCATTCCTAACTTTCAAGTTTATTCTAGAGATACTTTAAGTTAGGATCTTGGATAGAATCTTTTAGGCTGACTGGGATGGTAAAATCAGCAAGAACTTCAAAGATCTGACTAAGAGGAACGGTAAGAATAATCGCTACCTATACTTTATAATGACTTTAAATATAGGTTGAACTACAATATTTATAGCTAGAGTCGTCGATATGGGCTTGGCCCGTTGGGTCAGTCCCGCTTACCCCGCGATTTAGTAGGAATGAGCTAGAATATTTGGGACCCATTTAAAAACAAGGCTTTTAAGCCCTGTCCGGGTAAGCCCATGACCTGTGAGGCTTGATTGAAGCTGGGCTAGGTCGGCCCGTGGGCCTAATAAAAATACGTATTTAAATATAAAAAGTATATGGGACAAAAAATAACAAGAAGAGTATCCCAAGCTTAAAGTTTATTAAGCTCATCATATTAAAATATCAAAGTCTTAAAATGTTAATTAGTTTTAAAAATTTAATTGTTCTTAATATTTAACTAATTAATATTATAGACGAATTGTAGATGTGGATGAAAGTGAAAATGTTAAGACAACATTCTCACAAGCGGATTCAAATGTGTTTGATGAAGATGATGTGTTGGATATCCCATAAGCGTCATGAATGTTCCCTTTAATAGTATGTTTTGAGTTTTGACTTTTAGTGAATGAAATATAGCTTGTCTTTTACCTTTTAGTGTTTATTGTGATATATTAGAAAATTATAAAAAGTTATTAAATTTTCTGAAATTTTTCCAAAAAAGAGTTTTTAACATTTAAGTAGTTATCTTTTTTTTAGTTTAGAACTTAAAGAAAATTATAAAATTATATGTTTAAAAATGATGAGCCGGCCCGTAGGGGCCCGCAACCCACACAGGAATGGGGTGGGCTGACTATTATAAGGCCCATCAAAATGGTGGGCTAGCCCAGCCCGTCAATTACTAAAGCCCACGTTGACTGGGCTGGGATAGCCCCGCCCCGCCCATACTGACTGCTCTATTTATAGCATTCACAAAGTAACTTCAAATAAGATTTTATAATTTAATTTGGCTATGGGCATGCTGCAGTTGTGGAAATTCCAACTTTATAATTTCTGCCAAGGTGCTTTCGGATCAATATTATAGAATTTTTTTTAGATTTAAATCAAACACCTAAGAAACTAATTTTTCTTCATATTAAATGTATTTATCTTCAAACAACTTGTGAACCAGAACTAACTCATGTCATTCCTATTGCTATGAAGGACAAAAATCTCGAACTTTAGATTATTATTTTGTATATTTTTAATTATACTTAGATGTAAGGAGAAATAGGGGAGGGGATGATTGCAAGACTGGGAATTGAACCCTCGCCAATAAGTAAAAGATTCGAGTAGCCAACCAACTAACTACTAAAATTTCCCTGGAGTTTAGATTGATTTAATCTTAATACATAGTTTACCTTCCAAGTTGTAGCTAGATGCTTTTTAACACTACCTTTACGAGGAACCTTTTACACACTAAATATTTTTTTAAGTTTGATCTAACAATCGGGCCGATCGTTTAGCCTCATTCCCTTGATAATTACAAGGTTAGGGATATCCTAAATTTATACTCCCTTCGTTTCAATGTATGTGGACCTATTTCTTTTTTGGTCTGTGCCAAAAAGAATGACCATTTTCCTTATTTGGAAACAATTTACCTTTATGCAATGATTTATAGCCACACAAAATATATGTGCATCATTTTACACCACAAGTTCAAAAGTCTTCTCTCTTTTCTTAAACTTCGTGCCCAGTCAAATGGGTTCACATAAATTGAAATGGAGGGAGTAATTAAAATATAAGAAGTGCGGAAGCAAATATACAAAAAAAATCTGAAAACTAGAAAATAAAAGATATGAAAAATTCGAGGGAACAATCCAAGAATTTCTAAGAACATAAATTCTAAAGTCTTGACAATATCCAAGAAATAACATATAGATTTATTGAAGAAATCAAACGCCTTTATTTGAGATAATGAATAAAAAATATGTAAGGCCCGGTAAAATTTCACCTAGAACCTGGGTTCTGTGATGTCAAGGTAGACTTATGTATTTGACGTTTGTGTCGGCTGGGCCGTATAACCCATCATAGATCCATCACAAAAATTTTTAGAGAGGGATTCTTCGGCGCATTATGTCGCAGACCTGGCCCGAACAGCCCAGTTCTTGACATCACTTCTGCGGCCCATTTTGCGGACCACATATCCATTATGCGGTCCACTTTGCGACTGCAGATCTATGTTCAAAGGGTCCATTTTCTGATTTTTATAACCCGACCCTATTTCGATATATACACGTTACCATTTGTAAAGGGAAAATCTGATATTTTTAGAGTGAGGGAGTGGTCTAGAGTGAGAGGGGAGTTCCTATGCTATTGTTCATCAATTTTTTCTAAAAAGTTGGAGAATCCACAAGGAAAACTCACAAGTTCTTCATCCAAGAGGTAAGGTTCCACACCCTAGTTTCAATTTCGAATTTGGGGTAGAAGATGGTTAATGTAGAGTGTGATTCTTGGGTGTGAGAGTGATCTTTTTAAACATTCATGTACTATCAAGATTTGTGGGAAGGTTGTTGGGCTCAAATGGATAGACTTTGGGTTGTGGGATGAAGGAATCCACTATAAGAGGACCTTGAGATCATAATGTCTACCTAATGTTTGTTAAAATGCTCAAAAGAGATGAACCTGTGACCTTCCTAATTTGTGTTAGAATTTGTTATATTTCCAAATAGATCGATGTTTCTAAATTTTTCGGAAATATTTTAGTAAATCAAGGGAGCTCAAACAAGGTATATTGGCTAAACTCCTCTAATAGAATCGATTTCCATGATGTCCCCGTAAGCTGCAATTATGATTGGCCCAATTTCTTATTTCTCATGTTCTGAACCCTTCATAATGGATTTGATTATTCTAAAATAATTGTTGTGTTAAAAGATTAATCTACCCAAAATGTGTTCCAAGTGTTCCTATCACATCATAATTCCCTCCGAGAATGTAATGTAGTATGATCATCACATCAAAGCTGTGGTAATTTAAAAATCAGGTGTCAATTGCAAGTTAGTATGCCTAATTATGGAAGAGAAACTCATTGTGCTTAAGACCCTTGTTGCTCATATGTGCACTTAAAGACTTAATTTGAATTTCTCTTATTGATGATAATCCATGCTAATGCTTGAATGTTATAGAGTAAGTATGAAATATGAAATATGGTCGACGGGCCAAGAATGATATTAAAATTATGGCCACTAGTGCCAATGAAATGAGTAGATGTGTGAGAGATTATGCAATGAGTTGTAAATACTTTAAATAATAAATGCTTTAGGAGAATCGTTAATCACCGAGGAAGGGTAGGTCGAAATAACCTAACCCCGAAACTACACGTGCCAGTGTAGGAATGATTGAGGGGTAAATTCCCGTATTTTTGTGATGAGATTGGTTCCCGTTATATGGTATGAGATTGATGTTTCGAGATATTTTCCCTTAAATGGGATGAGATTATTGCTAGATAGATGTGATGTGATGTTGACCCACACGGTGTTTTGGTGATACGGCTTAGCTAGTCGGCTTGAGATTGAACACCATGTCACGCACACGATAGTGTTGTGATTGGATGTATCTGGGTGATATGCCTTAGCCGATCGGGTTGATATCGGACTTCGTGCTAAAGGCACGGTGGTATATCGGTACTAAAGCTCTCTCGCCTTAAAATATTGAAACTTACTTGAAATCTATCTTTCCCTAACTTGGTACTTTAAATATTATTTGAGGCCCTCATTGATTACATATTTCTTTCTCATTGTACTCTTACTCGTTGTATTGAGCGGGTGTTTAGTTTTTCATACTAGTACTATTCCATATGTACTAATGTAATGCAGGTGGTTCCACAGTGGGCAACATTGAGCATTGATAGTTGTACATCCTTTCCTCAACTGACTTGGTGAGCCCCACTTCATTTTGGGGTCTTGTATCTCGTGCCTTTTGTACATAACTTTGAGGTATAGTCGGGGCATTGTTGCTGGCACTGTCTAACACTCTTTTGTTTATGTTAGAGGCTCCGTAGATATAGTGTGGGTTGTATTTTGTTTTGGAAAAGTTAAGCTAAATATATTGTAATTGTATCACATGTTTCACTTGCAATTTTGAATGCATAGTGTACTATTTTGGAGACTTGTTAATGACGTAACTAATGGAAATGAATTGGTGTTATTCATATGACCTCTTACTGCCTATTAATGAAATGTATCTTCTCTTTATTTATGGGTGAGTTCGGTAGATGGTATTGTGCAGGCTTGCTCAACCGGGGTATCTCGTTTGAGCACTGGTCGTGGTCCCCGAGGTCGGGACGTGACAAGCTTGGTATCAGAACCTAAGGTTTTAAAATGTCCTAGGATCTCTCGGAGCTGTAT